TATCTTAGAAACCTCTTTTACTATTTTTGAATTAAAACTAAATATGCTTTCTGAGACCATTAGATTATGACAAGTGCCTTAATATCCTATGCATTAAAAAGAACAAATGAGATTAAAAAAATAATAATTAAGTCTAGTTATAATCTCTTCTTAGAAATAGTTGTTACAAATAGTAGGCGAGAACCTAAGAAGCAAGCAATGATGCAACTACTTGATGCAACTAAGTGTGTTTTTAATGAAGAAAGTGATGTGAATGCTCAACAAAAAAGAAACAAAGGTTTGTGTACCACGCAAATTCGAGAAAAGATTTTMAAAATGACAAAAAAAAAAAATATCTACGAAGAAAAAAAATTAATTTCTACTTTTTTTTCTTCACCGTTTATATATAATATATAGAAAGAGAGATATGTCCTCTTAACTTGGGTTGAGAAAGCTTCCACAATCTTTAGATGAAGAGAATACAACCAGCAAGAATGCATGATTCACTTAAAGAAGCACCATGTGACGTTAACAATCTAAATTTCCCCAATGAACACATATAATCACAATACACTATTAACCTAAGTTTCAGAATTGGTATATACACAACCAGCATGCATAATTGCATTAGGCAATACATTAAATTAAGACAAATAAAACATTTCATTCAAAAAAGAAAAACAAATAATTAAGGTACCAGAGTGTGGTAAGTGAAGAAATGGTGATGGTGAACCATTTCACATCGAGAATGTGAGACCATAAAAACCCTAAGAATATTTATGGTCTTGAAATTGGATTCGTACCTTCGTCTAAATTCAGCTGCCGTCATAATTGAAATTAGTTTTGTTGTATGAACATGACCTCTCTTGTTATCATGTCTTTAGTTGTGTTATTAGGTTTGTTTGGCTTCACCTTATGAGAATTTATACTTGATTGAAACCAGATCAAAGCCAAAACTTAGAAAGACATCGATAGAGAGTTTTCCGCGCTTAGCTCGAGGAGACAGATGTGAGGTCCGATGTCGATCAGAATATCAAGTGGAGCTAAAAAACCCAGAAGATCTAGGAAGAGACAACGAAGGGGGAACAATATCAAAGGTTATGAAATTTTAATGGAATACAATTCCCTGAAAGAGTGTTTAATTTTTTGTTTTTTTTTCTTGACCGTTTCAAATTCTTTGGTACTTGGTAAAATGAGAAAAGAAATATAAAGCCCCATACGAACAAGATGAAGATACAAATCGGTTGAAAACTTTTCAGATTTTTAAGATATATTTTTTTTTTTGACAAAAGTGTCACGTGTCAACCAAATAGAGTGCCACTTTTTGAGAATATGGAGAGTGTGGGCCATCTTTTATAGTATAGATTAAAAAACATATATCCAATATTTTAAAATTAAAAAAATAGGTTAA